AGAGAGAGAGAGAGAGAGAGAGAGAGAGAGAGAGGATGAATCAACAATATATAAAAAGGCCAAGGTTACCTTCGGGTTGGGTAGGCGAAAGCGTTGCCAATGGGGGGGTTTTGCTCTTGGCGTTGTGGTTTCTGAAGGGAGATCGGGACTCATCCGACGGCTGATGCTCCACGGGACCTTCGAGGGTTAACCTGAATCGTTCGATTATGGCTCTTCTTCACATATAGTGCTGTTTCTGTTTTCTATTTAATCAAGTGAAACATTGTATCTGAGATTGAGATCAAGCAGCAAAACATTTTAGTAACACCTTATTGCTAATGTTTCCATATCTTTCTTTACCAAAAAAAAACCATTTCATACTTTATGATATTCCAAAACCAAATACAAAAGGACACAAAAAGTATTGCATAAAACATGACTTTGACTTATCCAAGCTGCTAGTGCAAATTGGAGTTCAGCTCAGTCTGGATTCAGCTTGCTCAGAGTATCCACAATCCAAGTTTGATCAATTCTTCCATGATCATGTACTTGATTTTGATATTAACATCATAAGAAAATCCTTCCTTATCTTTTGTTAGAAAAAACTTCTTCCCGTGTGAAAAGCGTCTCAAGAGGTTTACACAAGGATAAAGAAGGATAACAAAATTAAGTTTTTTTGTCGATTAGAGGTGATCTAGTTTTCCATGCTACTAGGGTTAAACATTTGATAATAAACAAAAGCAAGATCAATTGCTATCTCCAAAAAATTTGTTTCAGAATCCATAATCTCCCAAGAAAACAAAAGAAACAATTTTTGGAGTATCCATATCACGGTTCAGTATCCATGTTGTGATATGGTTGTCCGTAGTTTCTCTTCAAAGAAAAAAAATATATAAAGACCATGATTTATCTTGAGTTCTTTAGGAAAAGCATCAATAATAGAAGTCTTTACGGAGGTCGATTGTGGTGTTGCTTAGTATATTACCCTTGACCATGATGTACGTTTCGTCTGGACCGATACGAAACAAGTAGTACGTATTGGTTTGGATGTGAACCAATATGCAGATCACCCATGGTCTGGTCCATCCATATAAAAAGGAAAGTGACCAAGTGATAACCCTAATCTTCTAGCGCACATCACACACCGTCGCTATGCAACACCTCCACCGTGCATAGCTATCTACACCTCTGCCACAACCTCAACTCTGCTTCTTCATCTTCTTCTTCTACCATCTCTCCTTCTCTTCCCCAGTTATCCCTTCCTCTTCTCCTTCTTTTTCTTTCTCTCTAAAATACTGATACACATCATTGTACCGACACATGGTACACCGGCACTAATTGGCCCAACCAGATCACCAAACCGGGTTTGGTATCCGAAAAAGTGATCCTTGTGTACTACAATCATGTAATATGATATTTTCATACAGAAATATTATACATATGTTTGTCAGTTTATATATCATTAATCTATTTAGCTCACAAAATTTATTATCTAAAGTCTAAACTATAATATCACATTAAATTGTTTCTTTTGGTTTAGATTTATGTCAAAACTGCAAGCAGAGCTGCTACAACTTATAATTATTAGGTTTGAAGTATACACAAGTGATTCAAATTTGGCAGATTATCCAAAGTGAGTTACTACTCAATTCTACTAACTTCAACCCACCAATGCAATTCTGAAAGCTTGTAATTTTTCTGTATGCAAAATTTCAACACAATGCAATCAAGATTGAAGGCAGAGCATATTGTTTCAATTTGAAGAGGAAAAGATGTAAAAGATAAGACTCGAATAATTGGTAGAATTCTTTGCCAACTTTGCAGATTATTTGCAAAGCTTAAGCTTCTTAAAGAAAGAGGCAACCTGAGACTTGGGGTACGGCCGGGTTGCGATGCAAGTAAGGAAGTCCTCCGGTTGCTCTACCCACAGCTTGTGGTCGATCCCTTCCTTCTTCAGCTTGTTCGCCAGGTTCCTCAATTGTGTCTCTCCCTTCATCTACAGAGTTACCTAAGAAAGCAGGCATCAGAAGAAGAAGAAGAAGAGAAGGTAAGCAATTGTCGGCATTGGTCAAGGGCTCGTTGAGGCATTTCATCGAGCGGACCTTGTGCATGGAATCAAGGTTGCGGTCGGTGCAGCAGGCAAGGACGTCGGGGTGGTGGTGGAAGCCCTGGGCGACGACGCTCCCGAGCGGCCACGTGTCAATCAGGTCGCGCCGGAGCACCACGTACTGCACCACCACGTCGCCCCCCGGGGGATTACCCTCGCCAACGCCCGGCAAGGGAGAAGCGGGGTCTCCGGCGGGATCCGGCGCTGCTTCGGCGGAGGCGCTCATGTTGCTCCTCAGAGGACGGTGGAAGCGGGACACGCCAACCGTGGGCGGCGCGACGGAAGAGGATGGCGGGAAGATGGCTCGGCGCCGGGCGCTCGAGTCGAGGCCTCACACGAGCCGAACATGCACCAGCGTTTCCAAAATGAACACTAATAACGAGAAGGCACGTGGCAAACAAATCAACATGCTCAATTTGTGTATCCGCCTCATCAAGTTCGGAACGTACGTGGCTCCTCCTTATTCGTGAATTTACGTGACTCGTGTTCACTCGCCAGCCTCTGAGCATGTCTAACTCTTGAAAATGAAGAAAATAAATATTAATATTTTTAGATTTAATCTTAATTAGCTTAATTCTTGTTATTTAACCAAGGTTCAATAAATATTCATTAATAAAACGAGACGACATCGACAGATTTATTAGTGTATATATATACATTAATAAAACTAAACCCTAAAATAAACATCATAATTTTCCATGCATTCACTATATATTTATTATACATTACCGATTAAAACTTTGATTGGATGGTTAGTCATCCAAAAGCTTAATCTCAGTACGAGTAGGATAATTTGTAACTAAACATTGAATGAAATAAAAGAGGAATAAATATTTAATTCAAAATCATGATCAACCCTGACATCAAGATGATAAGGATTTAATTGGGTGACAAATAAGCTTTGAAGAAAGGAACAGTATATATTAGGTTGTAACAATTACTATGAAGGATCAAAATGATCTCTTCAGTTGCACACATCCCAAGTGGCATGGAAACCGAGATGGTGAATGTAGTAGGCAAGCAGCTTGCGGTCCAAATGCACCAAAACAAACCATGTGTGGACCACTCTCTCTTGAGCTGTCCAAAACCTAGCTTCTGAAATACCTCAGCAATAATGTATATATATATACTTTCTGATGAGGGATATGCTATTTTAGACTCTACTACATAAATGAACTGTATGAGAGATCTCACATCTTTCAGTGTTTCCTTGCATCAAGACATGCTTTGCAATATCTACAAATTGACAACCAGCTCAATCTCAAGTTCAGTAACACTTGGAGGCTAGTGATCACTATCACATTGTTTGTAACCTTATACATCAAATCATACTCTGAGACCAGCAAAGTTTTACCAGCAACAACACAGCTACCAGCTGAGAAGCTTCAGTCACATTAAAGGATGCAGATCTGTCACAATCTTGCAGTGATTTCTGTGTTGCTTTGATGTGCAAAAGTTTCTGCATGTTTGCTACATTGTCTCTAGGTTCCATAACATTCTGATCACCACCACAGTGCAGAGAATATTTTTCCCCCTCACATAGATCTGAAGGAGTGGGGAGCATTTCCTAAAAACTGTGGGAGATTGGTCTACAAAAAGAGAAAAAGATCTGTTGCATGTTGAATCCTAGTATCTCTCAGGTATCTATCAGGAAACATGGCACTGAAAACAAGAAGAGGATTGCACAACCAATCATGGATATCTTACAGAAAACTCGATCAACATCTTGAGACTATTATCTCATATGAAGAAACTTAATACTAGTAGGTGAGAGTTCAACATCTTGACAACATTTTTGAGGATATTGGTGTGTGTTAATGCAGCCTGTAGAGCATGTGGAATGGTTTAATGGATTAACACTAGCTAGCATTAATCAGCTACAAGAGTAGTGGTCTAGAAAAGCACAACCACAACTATCACCATCAGTGGAAAGGATCATCGGAAGGCATCCAATGCAGACACATTGTTTGGTACTGCTTTCTTGTTTGTATGTAAATGTTTATTGTTTTACTTGAGCAAAGAGATGTTGTTGATTAGCACTTTGGAAAGAGGGACAAAAGCATAGTGGTGTAAGATGTACAGTGAGGGAAGACTTGCAACTCTTCCTCCTCTTTCTTGTTTTGCTCCATTCTTATCATCTAATCCATGGAGGCAGTGAAGTTTAAGGAGATGGGGACAAATATTGTCTTCGTTCTATGAGGATAAAATATTGTGTCACCTAGTTGTAGTAATGTATATATCATGGCATTAATTTTTCTGTATATGAGTATTGAATCTGCATGTAATAGCATCTGTTTGATGATTACTTTGATTGCTGATATCATTTGCAAATAGATTTGTCTGACATGATCACATTCACAACTCTCAAATTTCATGCAAATTTCCATATAATCAAAGACAGTAGTAGTATTACTGAGACACAATTGCATGTTGGGGGTAAGAAGGCATTGGAGACGAACGTTATGTAGATGAATCATGGAAGGCCATACTGAAGAGATAAAGAAATGGAATCATGATATGCTCAATGTGAATGATATAGCCATGTCTATGGAACATCAAATAGCAGGATGGATTAGCAGAATGGACCACTCTGCCTCACAAGGGCTCTACACTGAGTGGTTGATCAGCATTCTGCCACATGAAACAGCGAAGCTAAGAGTTAAAAGGATGCCTCTTTCAGCTTCCACTCATTCTTTGCCCTTCTTACGTTTCCCTCTCGGTACTTTTGGATGCTTTCTCTTCCCTCCCTACCCTTCTCATTCCTCACAATCATTTGCATTCCTCTCTCTCTCGCTCTCTCTCTC